GTTGGGAGTTCAAGACCAGCCCGACCAACATGGAGAAATCCCGTCTCTACTAAAAATACAAAATTAGCCAGGCGTGGTGGCGCATGTCTGTAATCCCAGCTACTTGGGAGGCTGAGGCAGGAGAATCGCTTGAACCTGGGAGGTGAAGCTTGTGGTGAGCAGAGACTGCGCCATTGGACTCCAGCCTGGGCAACAAGAGTGAAATTCCATCTCAAAAAAAGAAAAGAAACACTAAACGAAAATTTGGCTTTCTATTTCTGAATTGTTACACCAATTGTACACAAACACCTGAGGTAATAAATAACAACTTTCATATCTCATTTAAGGAAAAAAGCAGTGTTTATCTCATCATAATACAAGTTAAACCCTCAATTACATAACGACTAGTTTGTACCCCTAGAGATTCCTTCAGGCATGCCCATTACCCTATTCCTAACTTAGGACCAGACACGGAAAGACGGGTAAAAATTTAGATCAATATTCAGAAATGACACATTTACTAACATAAAGAAGAACTGTACTGGAGGTTTCTGCCAATGAAATTAGGAAAGTAAGAAATAAAAGCAATTACAAATCTTATAAGGAAGAAGTAAAACTGTCTTTTAGCAGCTGATATGATCATGTGCAAAAGAAACCCTCCTAAGGAATCTACAATGAAGGTACTAGAACTAATAATTTAATCAGGTTGCAGGATATAAGGGTAAGATACAAAGACAAATTTCTACATACTAACAACAAATATTAAAAACTTAAATTAAACAACATAATTTACAAGAGTATAAAAAATACTTGGAGGTAAATTTATCAAGATATTTGTAAGACCTCTACATTGAACACTACAAAACATTCCTGAGAGAAATTTAAGATGTAAATAAATAGATACCATGTTCATGGATATAATATATCAGTTCTCCCCCAAATTTACCTATAAGAGTGAAAGTAATCCCAACAGATGGCCTAGTGGATGTTTTGTGGAATTATAAATTGATTCTTAAATTGATATGAAAATGCAAAGGATTTGGTAAAGCCAAAACAATTTTTAAAAAGGGAAATAAAACTGAAGAATGTATACTACCTAACTTTATGGCAGATTATAAAGCTCTAGTAATCAAGTATTAGCATAAAGACATATAGATCAATGGAGTAGAATAGCGATTCCAGAAACAGACCCACACTTATACTACAATCAATTTATTTGACAAAACTTCCAAGGAAAGTCAATGAGCAAAGGATAGTCTTGACAAAAAATTATTCTGGAACAACTGGATATCCACATAGAAAATAAAGTGAACCTTAACTCTTAAGTCATACCATAGCACAAAAGTAACTTAAAAGGGGCCATGATCCCAAGCATAAGATGTAAATCTACAAAATTTCTAGAAGAAAATGTTTGTTACCTTAGGAAAGACAAACATTTCTGAGGACATAAAAATATGAACCAAAAATAGGCATATAAATTGGAATTCATCAAAATTTAAGAAACACCTGAATTACAGTGTTAAGAAACCAAAAACGTAAAGAAAACTTGCCATGAACTAGGAGACGATACAAGACATCAATTTGACAAAGTGCTAGATCCAGACTATACAACGAATGTTTGTATCTCACTCATAACAGAAAAACCTAATTTAGAAAATGGCCAAAAGATTGAAACACACATTTTATAGAAAATAGCCAATAAGCATACAGAAAGATGCTAAATATCATTTAATCACTAATTAAACGCAAAGCAAAAATGTAAGATGCTACTGCACATTCATAAGAATAAGTCTTACAGACACTACGTAAGAGTTGAAAAGAATGTGAAACAACGGGCAATCTCTTACTGCTATGGGAATGCAAAATGGTTGTAACCCTTTTGGAAAACACTTCAGCAGTTTCTTATAAAGTTAAACATATTAAACATTAGATCCAGAAATTCTACTCAAGTATTTATCCAAAAGAAATGAATGAAAGCACATCTACACAAAGGTTTATACAAAAATATTCATATTAGTATTATTCATTATAGTCTCAAACCAGAAACAACCCAAATTTCTACCAACAAGGGTGAGTGAATAAACAAACTGGATACAGACACACACTGTAATACTGTTGAACAATAAAACTGAATAAACCACTGGGCAAAAAAAAGTATTAAATAATAACATGAGCAAATCTCAAAAACTGTGCCATGACAAAGAAGCCACCAGACAAAAGATTGTACAGTCTATTATTCCACTTATTTAAAATTCCAGAACACATAAAACTGACCTCTAACGATAGAAAGGACATCAACAGTTACCTAAAGTCTGAGCTCAGGGGAGCAAGACAGGGCACGAGGTAGATTTTCCAGGTGATGTGGATGTCCTATCTATCTATATTCGACAAAACCTTACACTGAAAATCTGTAAATCTTACACTGTAAAACCTTACACTGTAAAAATCTGTACACTTAGTAAAGTTGACTTGAAAATCCTTCTAAACATATGTTTGGTGAAATGGAACACAGCACATTTAAAAGAAGGCAGCTGATGTTAGAGACCAGATTATAAATATTTATAAAAACCTAAAAAACAATTTAGGATTAAAATCAAGCTGGAGAGGGTTTTATCATACTTGCAGGGCTATGAAGACAAATCACCTCGGGGAAAAAAAAACTGGGGTAAAGTTTTAAAAATTTATTCTAACAGAAGATTTAAAAAATGATTATATAGAAAAACTAACTGATTATGGTCTATTTTTAAAAATCTCTTTCAAACCAGGGTCTTTTTAGGGTGAGCAGTTAGTGCATTTCTTTCTAATTATAAAAGGTGGAGAAAGCAGCATCCGAATTGAACCTGACTGACTCATCTTTGAATGGTTCTTTGAACCATTTCTTTTTCTTTTTCTTAACATTTAAGTTCACAGGTACAAGCGCAGGTTTGTTATACAGGTAAACTTGTGTCATGGGGGTTGTTGTACAGGTTATTTCGTCACCCAGGTACTAAGCAAGGAACCCATTAGTTATTTTTCCTGATCCTCTCCTTCCTCCCACCCTCCACCCTCTGAAAGGCCCCAGTGTGTGTTGTTCCCCTCTATCTGTCCATGTTGAATCACTTCTTTTAAAATTTAGCCCAAACCCACTTTCTAGCTTCATTTTGCCTAACTCCAAGTTAGTGCACTCACTGAATTTTCTGAATTACAACTTGTATGCTATTGTATGCAAAGGTCTGGTGTTTGAAATGCTTCCAGATATAGAATGAGCATATTTAGAAGTCTGTGGCCAGCAGTTTTTGTTACCTTTTAGTCTGAGCCATATTAAAATGATCTTAATTCATTCTATGTAGTTAGGTTAAGTACCACAGTCCCAAGAATCCAAGGCTGGCAAACAATGGTTTCCAAAAAGAGAAAATAATAATTTTCCATGTCAAATAATGTCTTTTTTTTTTTTTTTGTGACGGAGTCTCACTCTGTCGCCCAGGCTGGAGTGCAGTGGCCCGATCCCAGCTCACTGCAAGCTCCGCCTCCCAGGTTTACGCCATTCTCCTGCCTCAGCCTCCCGAGTAGCTGGGACTACAGGTGCCCACCACCTCGCCCAGCTAGTTTTTTGTGTTTTTTTTTTTTTGTAGAGACGGGGTTTCACCGTGTTAGCCAGGATGGTCTCGATCTCCTGACCTCGTGATCCACCCTTCTCGGCCGCCCAAAGTGCTGGGATTACAGGCTTGACCCACCGCGCCCAACCCAAATAATGTCTTTTTACATACTTTCAGAAACATAATCTAACAATGAGAAAAATTCTATTACTGTAACTCAGAGTTCCTGTGTTCTTTTTTTTAGATTAAAGAAAGTCATTTTGTTTCTCACAGTTTTCACAACCCATACAAATAGATAAATTCATAAAGAAAATGTCACACATACAAAATTGGAATATTATTCAGTCTTGTAAAAAATAAGGGAATCCTCTCATTTGTGACAACATGGATGAGCCTGAAAGACACTATGCTAAATGAAATAAGTCAGACATAGAAAGACACTGCACAATTCTTATGTGAGACACCTAAAATAGGAAAAAGTATAGATACAGAAATTAGAATAGTAGCTACCAGGGAATGCAGAAAAAAGATAAGAAAAGTTGTCATCTAAGGGATATAAAGATGAAGTTACACAAGATGAACAAGTCTGCCACGAAAGAAAGGGCCTATAGTCAACAATAGTATGTAGTACATATAAAAATTTTAGAAAGAATGGATCTCACTTTAAATGTTAAATCAACAACAGCAACAAAGGAAAATATAGAAAGTTTTGGAGGTGATGTATATGCCCATTACCCAGAATGTGGTGATAGCAACATAAATGAGTATGTATGTCTAAACTCACCAAACTGCATTCATTAATTATGTGCAGTGTTAAAAGAAACAATTGGATCTCCATAAAAGTGGGAGGAAACACCAGTATGGTAAGGCATGAAAACAAAAATGTACACCAGTAGAAAAGAATAGAGCGCCTAGAAATAAATCCACAAACTTAGTCAATTTATTTTTGACAAAGGTACCATGAATACATACTAAGGAAAGGATAGTCAATCCAACATAGTGCTGGAAAAAATGAACTCCATGCCAACAGAATGAAACTGGGCCCTCATTTTAAATCATACACAAAAACCAAATCAAAATAGACTAAACACTTAAACATAAGACCTGAAACTGTAAATCTACCAGGAGAAAGCATAGGCTTCTAAGCTCTAACATGAGTCACAGATCTACTTATAGGAAAGTATAAACTTGAAGAATATGCTAGCAGCATATTGCAATACTTACCTATATTTTTATTTTTATTTCTCAACAATTGTTGTAATACATTGCTCAGAAAGGTTATGCACCTTGCCCAAACTACCAAAGAGAGCTGTGATTTAAAACCAGATTAAACTCCCAAATCCATTTTAAGCTGTAATGCTTCAAAAGGAGAGCTCAATCTCTCCAAGAGATACTACATAAACTTGGGAGAAGAGTGACAATATAATTTTTTAAAATTTAATTTACCTTCAGGGGACGCAGAGCGCCACAAAATTTTGTCCACCAGCTGTTTTCAATGAATTCTAAATGCCTCTCTCTCTTCTTAAGTGTTCGTAACCTTTCTTCAAACTGTTTTAAGGCGCGTTTATCCCTTGCTGGCAAAGGTCGACCATCTTTGCTCTGCAAATGACGGAACAAAACAAAAGTTTTACCATTAACATCTTAACAAAGTACCCAGCAGATTTAGCAGATCAGGTGACAAAACTTTTTCAGGATGGACACTGTTTAGGCAAATTTACAAACTGAAAAATCGTACAACTGCAATAAACATAAGATAACCAAGGTCAGCATAAAAATGTGGATGTGTGTACATTTATGCCTACCTTCCTCTTGATCCCAATACACGGTAGTTATGTGGAGAGAGATAACCATTTGTAAAAACATTCCACAAAAAGTGTATTTGATAAGAAGTGTTAACTACTATGTACTTTGCTTAATGATTCTCCCTCCTCTCCAAACTCACTGTATCACTTATTTTAATAGATTTGGCTCTGCCCCTTCCCTCTCTTTAGTCAAGTGGTTATGTTACCTGAACTGATGCCTCTCAGCCCAATTCAAATGCTAGCAGAATGAAGCAACACAAGTACAGATGGCATGGAGAGGTTTTTGTAACAATTGCTAACAACTGATACTTCTTTGTTTTCCAAGTACTCTGGCAAATGAGTCAAACTTTCTTTGGCCAACCTATCTGACAGATAATTTCCATCTATTTTTACATGATACTTTCTGTAACCATGAGCAGTACCTTTCTCATCATATCTCATAGATACACTTTCCCACTGAACTCTCCTGCTCCTGTCTTTAATTGGGTACAAAAAATAAAACAGCTATTAAATACAGAAAAGGTAAAATATAAGATTGTTTTTATCAGCAGGAACAATAAAAATATTTGTATAGGATTATATTTTTAAAATGCAGATACATTAAGTATTAGAATGTCTTTAATATTCCTATTAAGGTTTAAATAGGTTCCTAGCAGATACACAACATATTGCTCTCCCATATATCCTAGTGCAGCCTCAATTTGAAATCATAAATATAATGCAGAGAATACCTAGGTAACATTTAATAAAGAGATTTACACAGTTACAACAATCTCTTTATACATCGGCATCACTATGACCTTCTGGAACCAATCATCCTCTTCCACGCCTTATCTTATTGCTTGTCAAACTTTATGCATAAGAATCACTTGGAAAGTTTGTTAAATACAGATTTCTAGGCCCTATCCCCAAAAGATATGATTTGGTAGGTCTTGGGTGGGGCCTAGAATTTGAATTTCTACCAAATTTCCAGGAGATACAGATGCTACTAGTCCAGAGACCACACATTACATACTACAGACTATATTTCATTCCTCTAAGTACTTTGGGTATTATCACTGGATCCCAGACAATGAAAACTAAGAGGGATTTTCTGAGATCAGAGGAATAAAATGAACACTCCCTTCTGGAGGATAAATCCAGGTAATAATACTTCAAGTGTGTATGAGAAGGATTTTGCACTTTTTATCTTAACCATAACAATTTTCCCCAAAATTCCCATTACTGTATCAAAAGGATACTAAAAATGAAGTAATTTTGTCTCAATGCTGGTGTTCACTATTTTAGGAAAAAAAAAAAAAATAGTAAACTGATTTAAGGATCCACTTGATACAAACCCAAGTTATCTGCCTACTTGGTGAATGCTTCAGTGGAATGAGGGATGAATTTCCATTCTGCATTGCCAATTGACTAAACAAATATAAGAATAATTTTGATCAGAGAAACAAATACTAAGATGTAAACTCAGCAGTGAACATCTATCTCATTTGAAAGAAAAAATGTAGTTATAGAGGTTAAAATGTAGTTAAAAGGTATAACAAACCCCTGGTTAATAAAAAAAGTAAAACACGAAAGCTTCCCTTCACACTGTCTCACTGTCTACAATTACCATATTACCATTCCCCTTTCCTACGTTTTTTACTGTTAAGCTGCTAAATATCCTTCGGCAAATTTTCTGTTTACACACACATACACACACACACACACACACATACAGAGAAAGTACACACATACAAAAGTATTTATGATTTCTTGTTATACATAATAGCTAACATTTCTTGAAAACCTTTTTTTAACTTTTAAGTTCAGAGGTACATGTGCAGGATGTGCAGGTTTGTTACACAGGTAAATGTGTGTCATGGGGATTTGTTGTACAGATTATTTCATCTCCCAGGTATTAAGTCTAGTAGCCATTAGTTATTTTTTCTGATCTTCTCCCTCCTTCCACCCTCTGCCCTCCAGTAGGCCCTAGTGTGCACTGTTCCCCTCTTTGTGTCCATGTGTTCTCGACATTTAGCTTCCACTTGTGAGGACATGTAGTACTAGATTTTCTGTTCATGTGTTAGTTTGCTAAGGATAATGGCCTCCAGCTCTCTCCATGTCCCTGCAAGGGACATGATCTCATTTTTTTTTTATGGTTGCATACTATTCCATGGTGTATATGTACCACATTTTCTTTATGCAGTCTACCATTGACGGGCATTTAGGTTGATTCCATGTCTTTGCTACTGTGAACAGTGCTCTAATGAACATTTGCGTGCATGCGTCTTTATCGCAGAATGCTTTATATTCCTCTGGGTATATACCCACTAATGGGATTGCTAGGGTTGGATGGTAGTCCTACTTTTAGTTCTTTGAGGAATCGCCATACTACTTTCCACAATGGTTGAACTAATCTGCACTTCTACCAACAGTGTATAAGGGTTCTCTTTTCTCAGCAATCTCACTGGCATCTGTTATTTTTTGACTTTTTAATAACAGCCATTCTGACTGGTGTGAGATTGTATCTCACTGTGGTTTTTATTTGCATTTCTCTAGTGATCAATGATGTTGAGCTTTTTTCGTATGATTATTTGGCCACATGTATGTCTTCTTTTGAGAAGTGTCTTGAGCACCTTTCTTGTGCATAAAACTGGTCTTCTCTTTTTGTATTTATTTTTTGTACATCTTCTGAATAACTCTTTGAGGCAGATAATAGTATTACCTTCATTTATTAAATGAGAAAAAAAGGCCTACAGATGTTATGTGCGCAATCAGTAGAGCTAGATTTTGAACTGAGATAGTCGGATTTTACATGACATATTCTTCAAGCTATATACAGATTTATAAATATATCTCATTCCTTTTCACTACTGCACATTACAAGATGGTATCTAGATTTAACAAATAACTTCTTTTGAACATGTAGATTATTTCCTTTTTTAATTTTTGTTAAGGGTCATTAACAATGTGCCATAAACATCCTTATACACTTAGGTACAAACAATTCAGTAGGATAATTTCCTAGAGGTAAACTGTTAAACTTTAATTATTAAAAGGTGTGTATGTGTATGTACAGGCACATGTCATGACATTCAATATTCTTTAGAAAGTTGTATATTTTATATACTCACAAACAGTCTAATCCCCAAATTCTGATAAAAATTTGACACAGATAAAAATTTAAAAGAGGTCCAAAGAATTTAAAAAAAATATATTGAGTTGTTCTTGACATTTATTATTTTACAGTTTGTGGCTATTGTGAATGGGATTATTTTCTATTACATCTTCCAACTAATTAATGCTTGTTATGTTTACATCTAGGCACCAGGATAAACTCTTACTAGTTCTATTAGTTTGTCAGTTATTTTAGATTATCATGGTAGATGATATTTGCCAACAAAAAAAGTTATTTTCCTTTTCCCCCTCTCCTCTCCATGCTTACATGTAAATTCTAAATTATTTCTTATTTGACTCAGATTGCCAGAAATATGCTAAAAGTAACAAGGATACTAACATTACTCCTATATTTGATGTTAATGGGAATGTTTCTATTCTTTCACTATTAAGTATTGTGCTCATTAGAGGCTTCCTTTCCATATTTTCTTATCTTTATTTTGAAAAGACTTTATTAAAATTTGTAGCTACAAATTAACTTTTAGAAAATACTCAAACATCTACTAAGATGTTTATATTTCACATTTAATCTCAATATGTTAAACTACTTTAATGTATTTTCTGATGTATCATGCTTGCATTTCTGAGATAAGCCTAATCTGATGATTATGAAATATTCTCTTACTATAGCACAGGTTTTGAATTGCTATTTTTTTTTTTAAAGGGTCTTGCTCCATCATCCAGGCTGAAGTGCAGTGGCATGATCATGGATCACTGTAGCCGCAACTTCCTGGACTCAAGTGATCGTCCCAACTCAGTCTCCCAAGTAGTTGGGACTATAGGCATGCCACGACACCTAGTTAAGTTTTTGTATTTTTTTTGTAGAGATGGGGTTTTGCCCAGGCTGGTACCAAAATCCTAAGCTCAAGCAATCCGGTACTACAGGTGTCAGCCAACAGTACATACCTGACCACTTACATTTTATTTGTATTAAAATATTTGCTTCTACTTTCATAAGAAAGCCAGTATATGGTTCTTTTTTTGTGTGCTGTCATTGTCTGGTTTATTTATCAGAATCATACTAGCTTAGGAGAATAATTTAGAGGACCTGCCATTTTTTTCCCATGATCTTTGAATAAGATTTATCTGTTACTCGGCCGGGCGCGGTGGCTCAAGCCTGTAATCCCAGCGCTTTGGGAGGCCGAGACGGGAGGATCACAAGGTCAGGAGATCGAGACCATCCTGGCTAACATGGTGAAACCCCATCTCTACTAAAAAATACAAAAAACTAGCCGGACAAGGTGGCGGGCGCCTGTAGTCCCAGCTACTCGGGAGGCTGAGGCAGGAGAATGGCTTGAACCTGGGAGGCGGAGCTTGCAGTGAGCTGAGATCGGGCCACTGCACTCCAGCCTGGGCGACAGAGCGAGACTCGCCCAAAAAAAAAAAAAAAAAAGATTTATCTGTTACTTGAAGACGACAGAGGAAGAAAAACTTTTTACTGTATTTTTAAAAGCACATTTAATTGGCAAGGGGTTACATATAACCTTTAGCTTATTCAACTAATAAATAAAACTTCAACATAAATATTATAGTAAAATATAATATTATATATTAAATGATGATACCTGAGAACTAGTAAGATCTTGATCATACATAAGAAAAACTTTTGTTTTTTAAGTGTTAGAACAATGATAGAAATTCTCAAATTGCTAGTGTCCTAGATTACACATAAGACCAATTTTTAGAAATATAGACATGGTTCTGTAAGGATACTGTATTAGTCCATTCTCATGCTGCTATAAAGAACTACTCAAGACTGGGTACTTTATAAAGGAAAGAGGTTTGACTGACTCACAGTTCCACAGGGCTGGGAGGCCTCAGGAAAGTTACAATCATGGCAGAAGGGGAAGCAAACATTTCCTTCTTCACATGGCAGCAGGAAGGAGAAGTGCCAAAGGGGGAAAGGCTCCTTATAAGGTCATCAGATCTTGTGAGAACTCACTATCATGAGAACCGCATGAGGGTAACCGCCCCCATGACTAAATTACCTCCACCAGGTCCCTCCCACAACACAGGGGATTATGGGAACTACAATTCAAGATAAGATTTAAGTGGGGACACAGCCAAACCATATCAGCTATGCTGCAAAAAATTCAAACAATGTAAAAAGTTATGGGGTTGACAATGTCTAAGTCATATCAGAGTAGCTCTAAGACAAAGTAGTTTTATGCTTCCCAATTACACCAAAATACCAACTCACTTTTGATTTAATCGTTTGAATGTGTTGTTCTACTTCTTCAATGTCTTCAGTGTTTTCTAAACGTTCATAAGCAGCGCTTCTAGTGCCTTTTATCAGATTTAAAGGTAACGCAGACATGCCATAGGCCTAAAAGAAAAAAAAATTGAAATGTTTTAGAAATAATGTTTCAAACATATTATACACAATTTTAGGTTAAAAATGTCTTTTAAAGTCATAAAAGTCAGCAGTTGTGAAAGAATACAGTCACTGAAAAACGTGGTATACGAGAGTGAACACTATATTGTCTCACAATTCTCCCATTTATTTCACATTACATTTAAACAGAGTCAAATTTATAATACAATTCCTCAAAGGTTAAGTTGCAAATTTACTGTAAATTTACTGTACAATTCTTTATATCAAAGTAATAATTACAACTTCAGACTAATCGAAGGTTAAAATAGTATAAATTAGTAAAAAAACTTAAAAAAATGATTTTCTATAAAAAAGAACAATTTTCTCCAAGTATATATAGTAAACCTTTGGTAAAGTAAGTATTTTAATATATACATGTCATTTGATTAGCATACCAATTATTTACATTATAAAGTTTATTTGAAAGTTCTAAATATTTATAACCAATCTTTTTGCTAAGTATTTTAAATATTTTCCAAGTAATTTTAACTTATTAATCAGTGTTAAGAATAAACATGTTATTATATGTACTACCCAATTCCATATTCCAGTACCAAATGACAGCTTTTTAACATAGCCATTAATAATACTTAATGGCATCTGCTATGTAACCATTATTCAGAATCATTACTGACCGTACTTTCTTAGCAGAAACACTAACAACTATAACCTCCTGGTTGCAGCAACAAACTCTGAAATGGATACTACATTATGTACTTAAATGTTTTTCATTTCCCTTCTGGCACACTTTACCCAGTGTCCCCTGTAGTTAGGTGGGCTATGACACTGAGTTCAGGACAATGAATACGGGCAGAAGTGATAAATGCCACTTTTTAAGCATGACCCCAAACACCAAAATATCCTGGGTGATCCTGAATGCTTTTACTCATGCTCTCTGCTACCTAGCTGTCAACTCCAAGAATGACTTAAGATACCTTCAATGTTAATTTGAATTAGTTTAATATTCTAACATTCTTCACTGAGTCTCCTTTATGCAATGATTAAACATTGCTTACACCACAGTTCAAATAGCAAAGCATAAATTCTAACAAATCAGCTTTTTTTTAAAATTAAGGGAGAACAAAAAACATGAATAAAAAATATTCCGAAATCAACTAGTTCTATCATATAATATCAACTCTAGAGTACGTTGTATTTAGATACTTATCTAGCTGAAATTATTACCCAATATACAAATCTTTGTATTTCCAACACTTAAAAAACCTTGCACTTTAAATATTATTAAAACAGAAGTGAGTATTCTCATTATTTCCCTTTAATCCTAAAATAGGAAGGAGTGGAAGAAGATTCTGTTACTATTAAATGAAAATGCAATTTGGATAGAGCACACTTTAAGTATTCCTTATCTTAAATGGCTGGGACTAGAAGTGTTTTGGATTTTAGAATTTTTTTGACTTTTAGTATATTTGCATTATTGAGCATCCGTAATCTGAAAATCCAAAATCTGAAATGCTCCAAGGAGAGATGAAACAAGATGGTGGAATAGAAGCCTACACCATTCATCATCCTCACTGGAAAACCACATTTTAATATCTATACACAGAAAAGTACTGTCACAAGAAGCAAAAATCCGGTCAGCAATCACAGTACCTGGTTTTAACTTCATATCACTAAAAGAGGCATTGAGGAAGTCAGGAGAGACAGTCTTGAATCATCAGTGCCACCCCTCTGCCATCCCCCAGCAGCAGCCATGAGGCACCATGGAAAGACAATCTTTTCACTTTCGAGAGGGACAGCACAGTGACTGGGGGGACTCTACATTGAACGCAGTGCTGCTCTGTCACCGTTGACAATACAGCCGTGCTGGGCTCAGCTACTGCCCATGCATAGAAGGAACATTTGCACCAACCCTAGCTAGAGGGGAATCACTCACCCCAGTGGTTGGAACTGGAGTTTCTCAGCAAGCCTTGCCACTGTGGGCAAAATGCTCTGTCGTCCTAGGTAAACTCAAAAGACAGTCTAGGAAACAAAGACTACAATTCCTAGGCAACTCCTAGTGCTAGGCTGGGCTTAGAGTGGACTAGGGTGGCATGTGACCCAGGAAGACACCAGCTAAGGGAGTGCTTGCACCATCCCTCTCCCAACCCCATGTGGTGTAGCTCACCTCAACAAAAGTGACTCTTTCCTTTGGCCTAAGGAATGGAGAGGGAACAGTAAAGAGAACATTGTTTTGCATCCTGGATACCAGCATGGCCACAGCAGGATACTGTGCCAGAGTCATCAGGCCCCCATTCCAGGGCCTAGCTCACAGATGACATTTCTAGACACACCTTGGGCCAAAAGGGAATCTGCTGCCTTAAAGGGCAGGCAGGATTGATTACCTGCTGACTAAAGAGCCCCTGGTCCCTGAATAACCAGGAATGTTATCTACCAAGTACACTGTGGGCCTTGGGCTCTGGGACATGCTGGATTCAGGGGTGACCCAGTACATTCCCAGCTATGGTGGCTATGGTAAAAGACTCCTTCTGTCTGAGAAAAGTAAGGGGGACTTTGTCTTGCACCTCAGCCACAGTAAGGCAGAGCAACAAGCAGACTCTTGGGGTCCCCAAGTCAAGGTCTAGGTTCTTAGAGGACAGCACTTTTGTACATGCCCTGTCCAGAAGGGAGCCCACTGCCTGCAGGCTGAGTCTCAGGCCTGGCAGCATTCACCACAAGCTTTCAGAAGAGCCCTGGGGCTTTAAGTGAACATTGGCGGTGGCCTGGTGTACCCCCATGGAACAGAGTCTCCACAGAGACTCCTCTGCCTGTGGAAAGGGGAGGGAAGAGCAAGTAGGACTTTGTATTGTGGTGGTGTGTGTGTCAGCTTAGCCATAGATTAGCAGGTAAACTGCTAAGGTTTTTACTCCAATTCCTGGCTCCCAGACAGCATCTCAGTAGAAACCTTACAGGTCAGGAGAGAACAGCATAACATATTTAAAGTGCTGAAGATAGAAAAAATTTTACCCTAGAATAGTATATCCAGTGAAAATATCCTTCAAGTATGAAGGAAAAGATCTTCCCAGAGAAACAAAAGCTAAGAGACTTCATTAACACCAGACCTGCCCTACAAGAAATGGCTAAAGGGAGTTCTTCAATCTGAAACAAAAGGATGTTAAGAGCAAGAAGAAATCATGTGAAGGTACAAAATTCACTGGAATAGTAAGCACACAGAAAAACAAAGAATAGTATAACACTACAATGGTGGTGTGTAAACCAGTCTTGTCTTAAGTAGAAAACTAAATGACGAACCAATCAAAAAAAAAAAAAAAAACCTTTTCAAGACACAGGCAGTACAATGAGACGTAAAGAGAAACAACAAAAAGTTTAAAAGCAGGAGGATAAAGTTAAAGTGTAGCGCTTCTATTCGTTTTCTTTTGTATGTTTGTTTGTATATGTAGTCAGTGGTAAGTTGTCATCAGTTTAAAATAATGGGTTATAAAATAGCATATGCAAGCCTTGTGGTAACCTCAAATTAAAAAACATACAACGAATACTTAAAAACATAAAGGCAAGACATTAAAGCATACCATCAGAAAAAATCACCTAAAGAAAGAAGACAGGATTGTAAAATAACCAGAATATAAATAACAAAATGGCAGAAGTCCTTACTTATCAGTAACAACACTGAATGTAAATGGACTAAACTCGCCAATCAAAAGACACAGACTGATTGAATGGATAAGAAATCCAAGACCCATTGATCTGTTGCCTACAAGAAATACATTTCACCTATAAAGACACACACAGACCAGAATGGAAAAAGATATTCCATGCCAATGGAAACAAAAAAAGAACAAAAGTAACTATGTTTATATTGGGGAAAATAGATTTCCAGACAAAAACTGTATGAAAAGACAAAGAAGGTCATTATATAGTGATAAGGGGGTCAATTCAACAAGAGAATATAACAATTATAAAGGCACCCAACACTGGAGCACCCAGATATATAAAGCAAATATTATTAGAGTTAGAGAGAGAGAGACCCCAATACATTAACAATGGAGACTTCAACACCCCAATTTCAGTACTGGACAGTTCTCTCAGACAGAAAATCAGCAAAGAAACATCAGACTTCACCTGCACTACAAAACAAACAGACCTAATAGATATTTAAAGAACATTTCATCCAGTGTCTGTGGAACACATATTCTTTTCCTCAGCACATGGATCATTCTCAAGGATAAACCATATGTTAGGTTATAAAACAAGTCTTAACATATTCACAAAAATTGAAATAATATCAAGCATCTTCTCTGACCACAACGGAACAAAGCTACAAACCAGTAACAAAAGGAATTTACAGAACTATACAAACACATGGAAATTAAACAATATGCTCCTAAATGACCAATGGGTTGATGAAGAAATTAAAAAAGAAATTGAAAGAGTTCTTGAAACAAATGATAACAGAAACACAACATACCAAAAACCTACAGGATATAGCAAAAGTAGCAATAAGAGGGAAAATTACAGCTCTAAAAGCCTAAATCAAAAAAGAAGAAAAACTTCAAACAAATACTGTAATGATGCATTTTAAAGAAATGAAAAATAAAAAAACCACACCCAAAATTAGGAGAAGGAAAGAAATAGGATCAGAGCAGAAATAAATGAATTTTGAATAAAACAATAAAAAAGATAGATGAGGCTGGGCACGGTAGCTCACACCTGTAATCCCAGCACTTTGGGAGGCCAAGGCGGGTGGATCATGAGGTCAGGAGATCGAGACCATCCTGGCTAACATGGTGAAACCCTATCTCTACTAAAAATACAAAAAATTAGCCGGGCAAGGTGGCGGGCGCCTGTAGTCCCAGCTACTTGGAAGGCTGAGGCAGGAGAATGGCGTGAACCCGGGAGGCAGAGGTTGCAGTGAGCCGAGACCACGCCACCGCACTCCAGCCTGGGTGACAGAGTGAGACTCCGTCTCAAAAAAAAAAAAAAAAAAAGATAGATTA